CACTTCCTTTAAAATAAATACTGGTTTTGAACGATCTCGATATCCTGTGATTGGATTTAATTATTTTAGGCTTATTAGAATTGTTTCAGTGAGATGAACATTTTGGTAGTAAAATCATCCAAAACAGATTAATACATCAAAAGTTATTCAATATAAAGGATATTTTTAATAGTGATCTAAAAATTACTAATAAAATACTACAAAATCACAATAATCTTGGGATCCTGTGATTGGATTTTAACGATTTTGGACTTTTTAGAATCCTCTCACTGAGACGAACATTCTGGTAGCAAAATTACCCAAAACGGGTCAGTAGATCAAAAGTTATTACCAAATTACACAAATTAGCCCATATAATTGAATATTCTAGAATCAAAGTTTATTTCTAAAAAATCTGCCTTGTGATATTTCAACATATATATAAAGATTGAATTATAGCTATTTTAAATCTATATATTTTTAGTATAAAATATTATTTTTAATTTAATATAACAAATAAAAATCTTTATTTATATATTATATATATTAAGTTAAAATTAGAAAAAAGTATACAACGCTAGTTATTTATATAGTGAATATTTTTATTATATATTTTGTATTATATATTATTGTCTAAAATTATAAGTTGAACAAATAAAAACCCACAAAGATATTAAAAAATTTTTTTTTAAAAAAATAGAATTTTTTAATTGTTTAACTTGTAATTTAGTTTTTTTTTAAAAAATATTACAGTGAACTCTCTGGCGGGAACTTTTTATTAAGTAGATTATGATATTATACAATTATAATAAAGGTATATCAAGCTACATGTATACTTTTGATGCCTAATTTAAATAGTCCACCCAAAGCGATAGTGCTATACTAAGGGTACTACACTATCTGCTATACCTACATCCCAACTATGAAGATACCTATTTAAACCCTCTGATTACAACCATCAGTAGCTTCTATCTAACCAAGACATAACTCACTATTCAAAAGTAGATTTTGTGATATCTATAGATTTCACACCTATCTTAGAACTTATTAAACCCTATATTGAGTCTAGTCTATTCACGAGATAAACCTAACAGAGTAGTTCATGTCCCATACATGTTTTATTTACATGTTTGAAAACTTCTTACTAACTAGTAACTATTGTACTGCCACTACCAGATTTGTATCTCAAGCCAACTTTGGAGTATTGCCATAACCCAATCTGTATCTCAAGCACAATCTTTCTAATTAGTTGCCGATTAAATACTTCTGTTCTTATAAGATTTACAACAACTCTGGTACCCGCATTCTAGCCATTTTCTTACCCGGATTCTTTATTGGTCCCTCCCTTACTTCTAGCCAGCAACTCAAATAGTTTAGTCTGCTCAGGCTTTAGGTGTCTGAAAGATACTCTCCCCTTGGTTCATACTTTTGAAGTATATATCCTTTTTCTTTGGTATAACAATCTAGCAATTCAGCTAGTATGTTCTCCGCCAGTGGACCTAGTTGCTTAGTTCTCTGATCTTGGGCCCAGTTTGAATTCAGCCTTCCTGTAATACCATCAAAGATCTCTGCTACCCTAATTTGGGTTTTCCCAAATAGGTTTTTAGTTATGCTAGTTCCTCAGATTTATTGTACCAAAGCTTCCATTATGAGATGGTATGAGTGGTGCCAGGGGTGCTAAATTGTTTGAATTAGATGTTTGGTGAACTTCTCTGTTTTTTGAATTTTGTAACATAACATTTTCTAGAAATGTGAACTATTTGGCTTTTTTTCCTGCTTTTGGTTTGCCTTTTGTCACCTTGAGTTGTTGCTATGTTAAGAGCCTTTTCTTTCTTTGTCAAGTAGTTGATTACAAAAGAGGATACCCAGATTGAAAAGATTTTTGTATGATTTTAAGAAGAGAAGAGAATTCATTGTTTCTCTTATTTGTGGTCTAGCACCTTAAAAGTTCTAGCAATCAAGCATGGGTCTAATATCCATGTTGAAGATTTTTGCTTTATATAATGTTAGACATGTTATATTGAGCTTCCAAATCGAATTTAAGTATGGATGTGTTTTGAATTGCCAATTACCCTCAACCAAATTGGCTTTAAGAAGACCTTGCTTGATTTGGATTTTTGCTAAATTACTATCCTGATTTAACCTATTTAGACACTGATGTAGATTTGTTATTTGTTGTATTAAAAAGCTCTTGTCAAAGAAATTTGCAGTTTCCTAGATCTCTATATGCAAGTAAAAAGTTGCTTGTTGTATATGGTAACTCGATCTTTATAAGTCTTATCATCGGTTAATATATTTCGTCTAAAGCATTTTTTGACAAATTTGAGGTTTGTAGAATATAACAAAGCTTAGAAATAAGATACATATTGTTTAAGTAAATCAGCTGACTTAGTGTAAGTTTCTTATATCTTAATATCTTAATGGTCATCTGAACTATCTGTTTAGCCTTATTTTTGATCAATATATTTTGGCCTTTTTCGCTTATCCAAACACCCAGAAATCTTGTAAGTGACTTGCTTTTTTCTGCTTCCACTTTTTCATTTGCTAGAATTATATTCTGATTGTCTAAGCTTTTTGTCAAGTTAAAAATTATCAACTTTGACTTTTTTGGGTTTACATGAATATCGTTAATTAAGTAGAATTCTTCTGCGATTTTTAGTGTCTCTTCTAGCTGTAACTTGCTACTAGCTATTCAAGTTGTGTTGTCTGCGTATGCTAAAGCTGCTTGGTAAAACTTTGTTTATTTATATGTGTTCTTACACAGATCTAGTGGCTCTTTGAGAAGTATTATATAGCCCAGATTTTTGTTGTTTTGAATTCTATGTATTAGTGGGTCGTAAAATATATACCAAACGAGTGAAGATAGAACTTCTCCCTGCTCTATACCATCTGATGCTGTGATACATTCTGTGGGGCCTACTGCTGTTAAGATTTGTGTTCTCCGATATTTGAATAAGTTTATAATAAAATTTGTCGATATGCTTAAAATTTTAATTCTTTCCATTGCAAGCTTGAGCATTTGAAGAGAGACTGAATCAAATGCTTTTTGCATATCTTGAAACAGAAGCTAAAGTTCTTTTTCCTGTTCTTTTGCATCCTCTATAATGCTATTTAAAATAAAAATAGGTTTCGATATAAAGTCACCAGACAGGCCTGTATAATTTGGACCTTTAAGGATTAAATTTCTTGTTAATATTTCTGAGAGCCGTGTTGCTAAGATTTTTGTTACACATTTATAAAATGTTTTTAGTAATGCAATTGGTCTAAAAGTGTTTAAGGTAAAGTCCCACTTTGTCGACTTTGGGATTAGGTAAATTTGGCTATGCTTCTATTTACTTGGTATTTTTCCAGTTTTAAGACAGATTGAGCCGAATTTTCTAAAAAGATCTTGTATATAACCATTTGCTTGTTTGATAAGCATGTATCCAATCCCTGTTATACCTGGTGCAGTATTGTTTTTGAGCTCTTTAAGCATCTTGTACTATTCTTCTTTTGAGATATCTTCTTCTAAATTTGTATACCAGGAAGCGTTAATTTCTGTTTGAGGTTTGTAAATTTCCTTCCACTCAGGAGTTAGAGAAGTCATGTTTGGTTTGCTTTTGTTGTATTGGTCTTGAAAAAAAGTATAAGTTTTTGATAGGACATCTTTAGGGTTCGTGTGTAATTGGAACTCATTTTCAATCTCGTCTAAAATTCTAACTATTTTAGCCTTCGAGAAGGGCTTGTCTAGTATACTTTTGAGCATTTTACCCTGCTTATCTTGGATCATAAGGCAGCGCCGATCTGTAAATTCCTTGATTCTTTCATTTTTTTGTTTTTCTATTTCTGCTGCCCATTTTTCGTTGAAGATATATAGCCAACCCTTGATATCATGCACCCATTCTTCTAACATCACAGTTTTGTCAAGAGCTATGTTAAAACCATGTCTGGTGCTAATTTTGTATAAAAGAGATTTTATTTTTTGAATTCTTTCTTCAGTTATTATGGACTTCACTATTTGATCTTTGTTTCCTCTTGCTAGTCTTTTAATTTCTTGACAAATTTTGCTTATATTGACTGTATCTTTATATAAAGGAGACCTTGATTGTTTCTTTTTTGATGAATGTTTATTATTTGACAGAAGGCCTATTTTTTTAAAAGGGGCAGAACTCAGAGTTGAGAACTAAGAGTTGGCATAACTCAAGAAGAGTTGTCATAACTCATTAGAGTTTGACTCATTGAGAGTCTATTATCTTAACATCATCATTTCACTTCAATTACCCCCCTGATAAGTAAAATCTGCATATAATTAGTAGTATAGTCCTGTACAAGAGCCTCGTGACATAGTCTAGAGCTCTATTTGGTCCTAATAACTCAGACCAAGTCTTTTCATGTCTCTTTCTGCCTTCTAACATTAGGGTTGAATAGAGTTTAATTGTTTAGAGTATTAATTTGAGTAGTTTAGTGTTAGTTGATATCTGTATTGCTAATTTTCCCCAAGTTCAATCCAGTTTACCCTTTCTCAATTGGTGGTGACTGTGAGATCAGACTTCTTAACTCACCTGAATTAAGAAATTTATACAAATCAAGTAATTCTTGACTGATATACGAACAAATCTACCACCTGAAATTACTTTTGAAAGTCCTCGATTCTAATCCACCACTCCAAGGATTTTACTTCTAAATAATTAGGGATGCACCAGTTCAGTCCGGTTCATCTCGGTTCTAGTGAGACCATTATTATAGTGTTTTCGGTCCTGGTCCTGGTCCATCTACAGTCCCAAAACGGTCCTTAATGACTAAATCTTATTGGTTATAAATGACGTAATTACTTACTGTCAGATGTAAACAAATATCATATGATCTGTGTTACATCTGATTAAGCAATTTGATTGGGTAATATGAATAATACAGTTTGTTTACAAGGACTGATCCAGGACCAGTCCAGACTGTGACCGATAAAACCATGGGACTGTTGAAAAGACTGGCTCTAAACTGGTCTTTTTCAAGACTAGTGCATCCCTATAAATAATTACAACTTAATGAAGATAGAATTTGGCAAAAATAAAGAGATATCTGGTAAAATATTTAAAAATATTCTCTACAAAGTTAAAGAGCAGCCAGGAGCTACTTGTATAAGCGACTCCAATAAAAGGAAACACTCAGCAAGAGAAAGTTCAAATGCCCAAAGAACCAATTAAGAAACTGGAGAATATAAATCTAGAAGATCGATGTGTAGAATGGACAAAAAAAGTAAATCAATTTTGTATGACAATAAAGCCAATAGTATGCACAAAATCGATCGTTACCCATTCTTCAGCCAAAGATACAATTAGACCAAGTGCACATATGGCTATAGAAGTTCAGGAAATCTACGTTGCAAATACAATTGAAGAAGAAACAGTAGATGCTGCCAATCGCTATCACTATGGAATTGGAGTTAAGGGTGATGAAAATGATATATTGGCTCTGCAAAATTATAAAGAAACGTACCACCAGACAGATAGGTCTGAAAAATCATTTGCAGACTTAAACAAATCATTAGAAACTAACTCAGATGATCCGAAAGCATTTGAATGGTATTCAAAAAATGCGAAAAAATAGAATATAAAACTTACTGAAATAAAGAATGCCAATAAAATAAAAAGCTTTGAATACTGTAATCAAGTGGGAGCTGGAGCTGAAAGTAATAAAAATATGGTTTCTATAAATTATCAGATATCAGCAAATATGAGTCTTGCCAAAGGAACATATAATACCAAAGAAAGTTATAATCATAAGAGTGGATCTAACGAAAATAAAATAGAAGCAGAAATTAATCAGTATAAGTCATTTATTTATTATCAAAACCTGCTGATATGGGGCATGCTAAAGAAAAAATTAATGTTGAAAATTGTTATTGAAAAGGAGTTAGAGTTGAAAAGGACGAATATAAGGCATTAATTTATTGTTAGAAATTTGCTTAAATCGATCATTTCAATAAAGAGAATAACTTTAGATGCTATAAAATCGGAATTGGTAAACGAGAACCAAGATTTGTTAAAAAACCTGTCCAATGAAACAAAGTGCCTAGAACCCATATTGAAAATGAATGAAAAGTGGTTGAACATTACCAAAAATCTGCAGAAAAATCTTATATTGATAGGATAGATATGAAGTCTACTAAAGATAGACATGAAGTGTCGAAACAGTATTTGAAGCCTGCTATAGGTGGTGACTCAAAAAGACAGATTTATTTTGACCTAGGTACCAATGAAAATAAGAACAAGACATCTATATACTACTATGAAGTAGTTGACTTCGGAAGTGCAAGTGTAATAAAAAGTCATTATCGAAGAGAAGTTGAAGAATCACTTTCCGATTTAGATAAGTCAGTAGAAATTAAGCCAAATAATTCAAAAACAGTTGAATGGTATTGGAAAAATGCTAAAGAAAATCTGAAAGGGCAATGCAATCTGACAATATTATCAAGGCAGCATAGATCCCACTAAAGAGAAAGAAATAGCATTTGAATGAAGCCTTGGATATTGTTATCAAACAGAAACTGACATTAAAAATAAAGAAAATAAGATTAAAAAAGAACCTATGTATATGCCGCTTATGGTATTTGAGATTATGAGCCCCTGACATTGAAAGAAGCTTAAATTTGCCAAAGTTTGTATAAATTATGGACACAAGTTTTACCTTTATATCCATTCTTCGTTGGACACCCACTACGCTGCAAAATATAGATCTACGATGTGCTATATATATAGTGGAATTCTTGACTTTTCCACTTGTGGCTAATAATCCGTTTGACCTTATTATGCTACAACAATGAATTCATGATAGTGCAAAGCTTGAAGGCATCGATATTGAAAAAGTTATAAGAAATGGCTTAACAGCTGAACTAATTGAAAACATTTAAGAATAACTTAAAAAAAAAAAAAACTATCAAAGTAAAGAAAAAAACCTATGTGAAGAATAAGAAAACTCCAAATCTGATGATAATTTGAATCCAGACCAGGTTGTCGGTGTTCTGGTGACAATATCATATTCGGTTAAAATCTTCATCCTCAAAGAATTGTTGTTTGCTCTACAATCAAATTGAAGCAGAGATAAATAAGCTAGCTGATATATATAGAGAAAATAAAGTAATTAGAATCATAATCGATGATACAGAAATCAAATTGCCGAATCAGATGATTAAAGGATAATACAGAAATATCGATAAGAGATAAAAAAGAAAATAGATGTAACATCAGAAAAGGTTGGTCATGACAGTAATATGTGAGGATAGGGCACATTAAGAAAAACAGTAAGCAAATAATGAAGAAGATAAAGAAATAAAGAAGAACAGAAGATATAATCGCAGAAGAGAGAAAAGAGAATTAATCAACCGCATTTGAAAAAAAGAAAAGGAAACAAAGAAGAAAATGATTATATTATCTACTAGATGAAGACTCAAGAGAAGAGCTACGAACCTACCTATATACAGTGTTGGATATTGTTATCAAAATGGAATTAAACCTAAAGTAAAATGAAGCCTCAGCCAAAATAAGAAGACTCATCTAAATTAAAGAAATCCGACGTTAAACTCAATTCGGCCTAGGTAGTCGGTGACTTAGCATCTTGATAACCAAAATTATTTCCACTTATGTTCCTTTCTTGTGGAACTTAAAAATAAGAAGAGAAGAATTGTGAGGGGCCCTGTAAAATTATTTTTTTATTTTATTCTATTATTATTTTATTTCATCCTATTTTATTTTATAATTGATACTATTATTAAATATATTACTTAACTTAATGTATAGGAATTATATGATAAGTCTGTCTAATTAGACTTATTCGCTTTCGTGACTTTAGTTATATTATTAAATTTAGCTAATTTGTTCAAAATATTAGCTTTAGTAGCTTTAGCCCTTTTCGTGAATATAGTCGCTTTATTTAATTTCTTCATTATATTTAATTTATTAGCTTTATCAATTTTCGTGGCTAAATGTAACTTATACAAACCTGTATTGTAATAAAACTGTAAAAAGTATAAAAGCAAAGACACTTTGCATTGAAATAAAGCAGAACTCAGAGTTGAGAACTAAGAGTTGGCATAACTCAAAAAGAGTTGTCATGACTCATTAGAGTTTGACTCATCAAGAGTCTATTATTTTAACATCATTATTTCGCTTCAATTACCCCCCCCCCGATAAGTAAAATCTGCATATAATTAGTAGTATAGTCCTGTACAAGAGCCTCGTGACATAGTCTAGAGCTCTATTTGGCCCTAATAACTCGGACCAAGTCTTTTCACGCCTCTTTCTGCCTTTCAACATTAGGGTTGGATAGAGTTTGATTGTTTAAAGTATTGATTTTCTTTTCACGCCTCTTTCTGCCTTCCAACATTAGGGTTGGATAGAGTTTAATTGTTTAAAGTATTGATTTGAGTAGTTTAGTATTAGTTGATAACCGTATTGCCGATTTTCCCCAAGTCCAATTTAGTTTACCCTTTCTTAACATGCATCTTAAATTAACCAAACAAATTATTTTCTATGCTACTTATTGCGACTTTAGCTTTTGTTTTGGTCAGTTTAATAATTCTTTGAATTCCTTTATACTAATTATTACCTTAATTTTTTTTCTTTTTCTACAGAGCTCGATAAGCTTTGGCATTCCATTAATGTTTCCATTTCTTGTATTGTAGCCATTAATATAGGTTCTTTTTTTAGCATTTCTAAGTATAAGTCATGTTAACTGGTAAGTAAAATATTTTTATTTTACAAACAATGATCTTTACATTACTTTAAAAATATTATATAAGACCAGTCTCTGGTTGAATACAAAAATATAACATTTTCAAAGCATCTACGCTGGTGAGAAAAGATTTAGAAGGCCTATTACTTAGGTGTTGGTAGATTTTCATAAGTGCTTATATACAAAGATATGGATGTATTGAAATCAGTTGACAAATTCTTGGTCATATCTAACTTTTTTAATTTTAGCACCTATTCGAGTAATATGGTTATTACAAAAAAATTGTCATTAATTCGCTACATGAAACAAATTATTTCACATTTCTATATAATTGCATGACAGAATTTTACAACTTATAATTAGTGATGAGATCTCTGAACTATTAGTTATTGGACTTGATCTTATAATCAATTTAATGAAAATTTTAATCATAATATACTAATTGAATCTGATTTTTTAATTTAAAAATCCTTTGTCTTATTTAATAAACTCATATTATTTCTAGATCACATTTACTTAAGTGCATTATGCATACATACTAATTGTTTATCACAACCTAATCTAATTTCTTCGTTATTGTTAATACCCATTCCAATTATCCTAATTTGTTTACAATTGCCTGCCCAGAATTGTCGTATCATAAACTCTTAAACTGTACATTGTATAATTGTATATGCTATATTACCCGTATTATTATCCTTTACTAACTCTTTTCCCAGTTACTATCAAAGCTAATTTGACCTTATAGCCATTCGTTCTCCCACTTGGTAGTAACATCAGTTTTAATCGGATAGGTATAATGACACATTCGTGATTAGAAGTTGTTAGTAAAATATAATTTAAGTTGATTCAATAGTGTGAATATGTATGTATGCATGTATATTTTATAATGATAATAATAATAATAATAATTATTATTATTATTAGTATACTTTTTAAATATACTACAAATTAGAGATATTTTGTATTAGTGAATATTGGTCCGAATTAAGTTTAATTTAGGCCAAGATTAAATAATTTTTTTTTAATGTCTAATAAGAAAAGTTACTATGTCCAAATTGTCCAAATATCCACTATCGTAACATGCCATCCCTGCTTACAGCTGTTCTCATAAAAATTGGAACAAATTAAAAATTTGTTCGCTTTCTGAAATCTCTTTGGTTTCGTCCTAAAGGTCACCTAACTCTTCGGAACTTCAGTCCGGAGAAAGCGATGTATTTCCCAAAGAGTTATATGATCCCATAGACAAAACCGAAGAAATTTCGGGAAATGAGCAAATTTTTAGGTTGTTCCAGAATTTATGAGAATAGCTGTAATTCTGGAACACTCTAAAAAATTTACAGATAATTATTCGGCCAAATTCAATAAGTTATTGGTTTCAGAGCAGGTTAAAAATAACTATTCATTTTCCCGCCTTGTAGATTATAGTTTCAAGTGACTTTTTGATACATTAAAAAAAAAAATAGAATCATATATCTATTTAAAAATCAAATAAAAATTGTCAAAATAGGCTTTTTTAATATACAACACGAGATAGGCGCTAACAAAAAGACAAAAAGGTTAAATATGATTAAGAGTTTGTCAACTGGTTCGAAAAAATGCAACGCAAGTTGAAATAAGAGAACAAGTGTTAATTATTATTGCTGACAATGACTTAATAGTAAAATTTTTCATATATTTGACGAATTAAAAATCTTAGATATTAATTTATATATGTCGTGTAATACCGAAATAAATAGCTTATCAAATTCAGTCGGATAGTTATTGGCAATTTTTTTTAGGATGTCCTAAAATTTACTGTAAATACATAATCCATAATGTAATAATCCCAAATATATAATTCCGAGCATAACATAAATATCAAATTTTTTGTATTTATGATATTCATGAAATGCTATTATTCGAGATTATTATACTCGGGATAACATATTTACGAGATTGTAACTATTTGAGATTTTTTTTCAGGACTAGTTGTCAAGTTAATTGTCGGGATATTGTTCTTTTGGAAGTTTAAGTATCGGAATCTAGTACCATTGGGATTTAGTTTTCCTGGATTTTAAATGACTATAAAAAACAAAAAATTTACAGCCAAATTTCCTGCAAAAAGTACTAAAATTAAAATTAGTATCATTAGAAACTACCTGACGGTTCTTTACACGTTTAATCTAGATACAAAACTGATTCTGCTCATAAAATTGTATTAGTAAAAAGGTTGGTCCGGTCAACCGGCCGAATTTTTAAAATCAACTCCAGTTCATAATTTTTTCATCGACTAGTATTGCTAAGTTAGAATTAAAACTCACTCATTTCTTCAAATAAATATATATATTTTCAGCATTATCAAAATATAATTGTCAAGTTTATACTCACCAATAATTTATCGCATTTTTCAATTTGAAATCTTCAAAATTTTTTAATATTAAGGCTTTTTTTGCGAATAAATCTAAATTTCTTGCTAACAAATAAAAACTCCCCAAATACCTCTTCTATTTTAGCTTTTTTAATATTTTATCAAGTAATATAAAAGAGCTAGTTGTTTGTGCAGCTAAATAATATATATATATATAATTATAATTATTTTTTTCTCTTTATAAAGTTGTATATTTAAAATTATATAAAATTAATCATTGTTTACTTTTTTTTTTTTTTTTTTTTTTTAAGCAGACTTGTCACAACTTTATTATTTATTATAGAAGATCTAACAACCTAATCTCTATATACAGCTATGCTATTTTATACTAAAGTGTGGCTCACTCGGTTGCCTCAATAGTACCTATGTGCGACATGGCAAAGTAGAAGCAGCCTCCTTGCTTCTTCACAATCTACCTCAGATTTTGAACCCACAAATCACTGGCCAGGATCTACAGCCCATCAAGACTACCTGTCTTTCCTTTAAACTTTTTTTACCTAGATCCAGACAGATTAGTTAATTCTCTTATATTTACATAAGGGAAGACAAATTGCTGAATTTACAACAGAAGAAAAAAAAAATTTAGGAAAAGAAAAAAAAGTAAACACAGAAAGAGAAAAAGAAGAAAAAAAATAAACAAAATCCTAAACAATATCTGAATATAAAGAGAAAGAGATGAAAAAAGCAAAAAGAAGACTGAGTAGTCTTGACATATGAACAAACTGAAAAAAACAAGCGAAACAAAACAAAAAAAAAAAAAAAAAAAAAAA